CCAGCTCCCCCTCAGCACGCCAAACCCGTTGGGTTGGATGAGCATTGGGACCTTCAACTTCCAGTTACCTCGGGGTTGGAGGATCCCCTGTCTCCGTCTGCACCTCCAGCCTCCGAGACCCAGACTCCACCTCAGTCCTCCGACCCATCAGCTTCACCTTGGCTCATGGCTCACTTGTATCCACCATGGCCCCTAATCCCACAGGCTCTACCGGGCTCCCTCGTCCCTCCGGCTCCGCCTTGGTCAGTCGTCGACCATCCTTCGCCTTGGGATTCCACTCCTCCGGCTTCAACTCGTCCCTCGTCACCTGAGCCACCAGCGCTGCCTTGGCCCTCCAGATCCTCGGTGTCACCCTGGCTCTGTGGTTCTCTGTCTCCATCCTGGGCTCCTCTTCCACCGGCTCCGTCTCCGTCAGTTGGCCCCCTGGTGTCATCGGCCCCATCTCCACCATGGCTCCTCCCACTGTGGGCCACTATCCTGGCTGGCTTCTCGTTCCCCACCTGCTCCGGGCACCTCCCAGGCTCCTTCCTCTATCTACTCCGCCCTGGCCCTATGAAATATGCCCCCTACCAATTGCCTGCCCCTCACCTGCCCCACGCCCACCTCCTGAACCCCCACCCTCCCTCCTCTGTTGGACTGCTTTTGTAGGAGAGAAGACATGCCATTTCGGGAGGGGGCGAAATGTCACATTTCTCTGTACAGGTTTTCTCTGTATTTCTGTTCCTCTACATTAGTTTCCTGGTTAATCTGTTTTCTTAGTAATTCATTAAGAAGAGATTATGCCAACCCCTCAGAGAACCTCAGATGATGCCAACCCTGAAACAACATACAGAACTACCAAATGTTGCTATAAGTTTGATTGCATCATATAATAATTACTGTTAATAGTGTTCATCGTCTGTTTGATTTCGTCTTTAATTGATTTTTCCGTACATTTCTGCCATATGTACATAAACTGATAGTCACCACTGATAAGCTACTACTAAATATTGTAGAAACTTAAATTTCTGCAAAGTTGCTTTGCAACTATTTGTATCATAAAAAGCACTATACAAATAAACTTGAATTGAATAAACTTGAATTGAATTAATCTCATTGGTCATTAATTAGCCCTACACCTGTTCTGTTTCTTCATGATTTCATTCTCCCCTGTATTTAAGCCCTATATTTCCCTCAGCTATCTGTCTGGTATTGTTTTGGTGATGTTGGTTTGTTGTGTTGTGGATTTACGTTTTGATTACTCCTGGAATTTGCATTAAATACTCTCTTGAACTTTACTCCTTCGTTGTGTGCTTGATTAGACAGCCAACACATTACAAATAAACTAGTGCTTTCTGAGAAACTGTCGGTTGCAAAGATTAAGTTGATGATGCTGACTTGCCCTCTCCACAGTATATTGGTCTTTAGAGAGAAAGGAATTTTTTAGAGAGGAATTTGTTTTCGAATTGTTTTTGAATTGGTTCATTTTAAAGTAGATATTTCAAGCTTTATGTAGATATATTTCTTATGTCTGTGAAGCAAGTGGCATTAAGGATGAGTTTTAATTCATTTTTGTGACGCGCTCCAGTTCATGGAGACAGAGACTGCAGAAAGCACATCCTATTTTTTTTTTCCTTATTTTATAAAGGAGGAACATTCTGCTGATATTGTGAGTGTATAGAAATAAAAGTAGACCCTTGACAATTTTGAATGATGTATTACTCTTATCTGTATGAGAAAAAAGGATGGCGTATTTTTGGCATATGATGGATTTATTTATTTATTTTTGCTTAAAAAGTATATTCTGTGTTTACTCAGATTGCCTTAGTTTTAGATCTTCAAACAAAATACAACATAAAACAATTTAGTATGTGACAAAAATTGAAGAAATCAGGATGGGGGCAAATACTTTTTCACAGTATATGCCATCTTAAGTTGCGTCAAATGACAGAGAGAAATATTTATTGCATGAATGTGATATCTGTGTTTGACTAATTATTGTTCTTTACATATTAAACAAGAGGCATTTGTATTACCTTATGTGATGAAACCACTTCACTGATGGGTCTGAATTTATGATTGTCATGTTGTTTTGAATCTCTGCACACTAAACACACCAGCTGTTTGTCCTCCAGACAGAAGAGTTTGAGTTTCTCACTGTGTAAACTGCAGATCTCCTCAGATCCTGCTGAACGCCTCTCATTCCTCTTCTTCAGGAACGAATCACACAAGTTTTTTAATGCAAGATTAGGAGGTGGATCTTCTTTTGAGGATCTTCTCCTGCAGACAGGACACTCCTGAGTTTTCTTGGTTCTCCAGAACTGTTGAAGACACTTTTTACAGAAACTGTGACTACATGATAAAATAACAGGAGCATTGAAGACTTCATGACACACGGGACATGAAAGCTCTTCTACAGATACATTTAGTGAAGCCATTTTCACTGTTTGAGCTCCAGCAATTTCTAAATGATTTCGCGGAAATGAATCACCATGAGAAGTACAAATATCTGCTGTCTGTTCAAAAACAAGCTTAACAAAAATACTTCCATAAAGTGTTTCTCTTCCTTCACTGATCGCTGATCCTTTATTGCTTTTGTCAGAAGAGAAGTCAGTCTCTTCCTGGTAAGTGTTGTAGGAGGGTGGAGTCTTTGATCACTTGTGTGTGTTCAAAGTCAAAGACTTTGAACACACAAAAACAAGTCAAAGAGCAACATCAGGATTCCTTTAGGTAAAATTTGAACTAACTGTATTTAAAATGAACTTGCATTGACAGGAAGTGCTTTCCCTTTCAGAATTCCATCTGTTATTTCTAATTCTTTCATATTCTTTCATATTGGTTTCTAAAAATAAGAAATTGAGTATTGTGGAACATCTAATTCTGAGCTATTAGTTGTAAAGAGAGTTACTGGAGGGGGCATGATCATCCTGCTCCTGTGAGCCTTCTGTTCCTTCCAGATCTCCATTGTAGCATTTGGACCAATCAGACACACAATTGTTTTTTAGATTTAACAGATCAATTATTCATTAGATTAACAAACAATCACAGACCCCTCACCCAACACCAGACTTGGCGCCTATATGTCTGTGAACGATCTCCAGGCCAGGACCCCTCAGCCAGATCAGAATAACTTTACGACCTAAAAGTATGTAGAGAGAATCTTCCTCACTACTTAATTCTCCCTAAAACAGACACATACTGCTATAGGAAATTACTTCTTTCATTTAATTCATAGACGTTTTTTTCTATGACCTCCCTATCATGCATATCCCCAGGTCATTGTGTAGGATTATTACGTTCTTGTATATGGTCTTGTGTAGTGTATACTATTTTATGTATGCATTATGATAGATCACTGGTTAATATAACCTCACCTATACCATGTTTGGTATCTATGAGTTCGTAATTTCATGATCTAAATGAGAATGTATATTATATGTTGATACCTATGCAACACATTAGTATTATAAGAATCTTGAAGATTCTTCTCTTGAACACCCAATCGAGTTTCATATGCAAAACACCATGCTAGAGACAAAGGATCGTAAAATTTCCCTCCAAAGGTACCATTCCTCATTGGCTCACTCAAATCC